TGCAAGGGGAGGAGAAAGGGGAGGAGGTGACGGCCCCCGCCACCCCCGCCACCCTCACTCTGGTCCCACAGCTGTCTGTCTGTGTCAAATGTTCTGAGCAGAGGTGGGGGCTTCAGCTCCCCACACGAAGTTCAAAGCTGTCAGCACCTTCCCCACAATACTCTGGGTGCTGAGGAGCAGGTGATAATTGCAGCCCTGTCACCTCATCACCCTTGAGCTGACTGCGGGTTTTTTTTTTTTTTTCCTAAAAACAAATGTTGTGCTGCCTGGAAATCGAAGTTGGAGTTTCAGTTGAGGAAATACATGCATGCGGGCTGCTGCTTGTTTTCCGTGAAGGATCATCAGAAAGTGAGGGCCAGGAAACATCGTGGTGAGCTCTCACAAGTGCCCCTTATGGAGAAGGGTGGTGCCCAGCCTCGGGGGTGCACCTGTCTTAGCATGGGCCTTCACTTCCCAGAGGAGCTCAGCTGTTGCACCAGTCTGAGGAGAGGTGGGTGGGTGTTGCAGACCTGGCCCTGTGTCCCTTGGAGAAAAGGCACCTGCTGTGGCACTTCGCATCTTGACAGATATCTTTCTCTCGCTCTGCCCACCATGCCTACCAGGGGACTCTCTTCTCCAATTTCAGTGCAGCCCAGCTCTTCGGACTTTTGATGTAAAAGGATTCTAGTCCTTCACTCTCACAGTCTCTGTCCTTAGGACACACTGCCATGTATCTGTGACTACTGGATGTTAAAAAGCAGCAAAAAAGCTGAAATATTCTAGGAATACATGCTCAGATTTTCACATTCAGATTCACACACCCTGACACACACCAAAACAACTCCCTACAAGAGCAGATAGAGTTCCACCTGGTAATAGCTGATGTTGATCATCTTAGTATGTGCCAGGCCTGTGCCAATTATTTGCAAACATTATCATATTCAGTGTTACATGATGTATCATATTCACTTTACAGAGAAGAAAACTAAGGTTTAGAGGTGTTAGAAGTCTTCCCAAGTCTCCTGATGAATAAAGTATTGAGAAAGCTCTGAACCCTGCGTCTGTATCCTCCAAAGTTTCACGCCATAGCCAATCCTCCATATTATCTATCTCACCCAAAGTCACTTAACGGAATTTTATGTAAACTGCACACACACTGCAATATAACTCTGCCTAGAGCCACACACAGTGACACCTATACAAGTGTGCTTACATAGGGGACCGAGTGAGACCCTGTGCACTGTCTCATTGACAAAATGTGCATTTAAAAATTGTTCACAGAAATGTGGTCCTCTCCAAGTCTATCTGACTTAGTCAACTGTATTCATGACTACTCTTCATTGCAGGAACTATCATTGCGGAAAGTCATGATTGTATTATAATATGTACGCGGTTTGCCTCAGCAAGAGGAGCTTTCTGAGAAAGGGGTGGGGAGCATCTATTTGGAAGCTAATTCTGCTTCATTAGGGTGGACTGCTTGGAAGAGGAACGGAAAGGAACTTTTGAGAAAGAATACCCAGGCCATCTCAAAATTCATGCTATTCATGGAGAAAAGGGCTGGGCATGGTCTGACACGTACCTTAGTCTCTATGAAGGCAGATTAGCTTCATCAGCAGAGGAAAAACAGCCTGATCCCACAACCTGATGAGCTCAGGGAAGATGGTACTGGAGGGATGACTTTCAGAAGTGAAATTCTGACAATGCAATTGCAAATGACTCTGATTTGGAAGAAGATGGCAGACACAGGATGAATACAAAGGAGTGACACAGACCTTTAAGTAGAATGTTGGGAAGATTGAAGTTTGGAATGACCCAAAGACAACACCACAAAAGGCCTTTTTGGGTACAGTCAGAGTGATGAGCACAGACTGTTTTGTCCAGCTATTTCTGGGTAATGTTCTTAACCTCTCTGAACCTCTGTTTTCTTGTTCATACAATGGAAATAATAATTCTCATACCACATGCTTGGTGTGAGGATTATACGGGATGATGCATTAAAACCACAACAAAACCTAAAGCCTCCAGACACCTACCACAGAGGAATGGTTTCAAAAATACCAACTGCAAGTTCCCCTTCTCTCCTCCTAACATGAATAGTTTAAAGCAGACTCTTCAGTTCCTCATTTTGTTTCCATCTTTCTGTCAAGGAGAAGGATCCTCAGATTAGAAAACATAGAAGAGACAACGATAAAGAGAATTCGGGAGTCAGGTAGTACAGGGAATGTTGAAATGAAGTCAAGCCTCCCAACCAAGAAGAATCTGACAAATGAGCGAAGAGATGACACACAGAATCAAGCTCTGCTTTGGGAGTCCTGCAATAGTCACTTCAAACATGGAAAGAGAAGAGAGATGTGCCAGGCACATGGTAAATATGCAATTAAAATCTGGTGAAATGTTAATGAAAGGGGCAAGAAACAGACACATGCCCCGACTCTCCGAAAGGAAATAAAACATATGTGCTTGGGATTCATCCCAGGTGAAATGCCAAGACTGCTTATTAAACTGTGGCTTTCAAATGTTCAATAAGAGATGTCATGATCCCCAGGAGCTGGCGTGGTCCATCAAAGATGCTACCTGCCTGACACACCTCATTTCCTTTTCTAATACACTTCTTGGGTGAAGAGTTGAAACATTGTATTTTAGGGCTCATTATCCCAAATGGAGAAATGTGCAGTCAGGGGCTTTGTGACTGGCAGAGTGTCCGTATCCAAAGAGAGAAGGTCCAAAAGATCAAGCTGAGTGGGGCTGAGGGTCCTGGAGTCCTGAGACAGGTCTTTTTGACAGGGGAAATAATTACTGATCAGCTAAGAGGAACAAGCAGGGGCAGTTCGTGTGGCAATGGACAGAGCTGGGACCCAGCTATATCTGGACAACTGACTCTGAGGTTAGAAAAATCACCTTTTCTCTCACATCTGTTCTTCTCCAGACTCCACAGTCACCTGGGCCAGAAGCTTGTCAGTCTCACACATTCTCTAAATCCATCTAATCTGGAATTCACTGGGGTTTTTGCCTCTTAAATATTTATCAGATATTTCTTCTACTTTCATTCCCACTGTCCTGCTTAAACTTAGACCCTCGTCTTACCAAGTAATAATGATCAGCAGTTGGGAATCTTAGTGTATGCTGCTAACTATGTGATCCTGGGCATATTATTTAACTTCAGTCTCTAACAATACTCACCTCAGGGGCTGATACAACATTTATGAGACAAGGCTTGTAAAGTGTGTAGCATTATGTTCATCATGGTAAAGTATTCAGCAGACATTAGTTACTATTTCTGGACGGCTCTGATAACCTCTCAGCTGGTCTGTATATATTCACCCCCACCATTATCCATCCCTCATTAGAGGGCAGATCAAACACACAGCCCATCAGTGATTCCCCCCAGAGTAAGTGCCACCGCAGTACATGCACACACATGCATGCAAACACAAGTGCACACACATACATATAATACAAGCACATGCACATGCCACACACAGGTGACAACCTGAACACTCAGCATTGTCCCAAGATAAAGACACAGCTCTATCACCTGGTATACAGAGCATTCCTAACTTTTCTAAACTGCAGCCATAACTGCTGGCTGTTTCTATAACACGGAAGCTGTTTGCAACTTCTCAGCTTTGAGACAAATTTTCTGCTCTTCCACTCTTGCAACTCATGCATAAAATTCCAGGCCAATGCCATCTCCTTGGTAAATCCTGCAGGTCCTTTTGAGGTGCATGTACTTCACTCCTACAGTCGACATCTTGGAGCCTCAGTGGCCTAACTTGCAAAATGGTGCTCAAGATACCAACTCCTACGTGTCATTATAAGGATTGAGAAAAAAGATGTACCACATCTAGGAGATTGGGAATTGAATCAGAATGCTGAGAAGAGGACAGCCCCTCTCATATGAGGGATGATGGGCAGAACTGGACTTGTTTACAAGAAGGGTAGAGAGTAGGCACTTAGCTGTGAACCCAGCAGACAGAAGCCAGGCTCTATTCATTTTGAGACTCCCAAGCAAGTAGCACAGCACTTGATTCATGAAAGATAATAAGTGCTTGCTAAATTGAAGTCTGAAATAACTTTCTCAGGTGGCTTCTCCTCACAGTGAACTTGGGGTGGGATTTGGCTGAGTCATATCAACCCCACACATCTTTTCTTCCAAAGTGGGAAACCACTTTCTCCATCTCAGTGACTTTCCTACATTCTGGCATGACACTGCCCTTAGCTCTGGCTCATGAAGGAAGATGAGCCTGGGACTCTGAGGCAAGGTGCTTCCCATAAGTGCCCCAGCCTGTCACCAGCTGTATCTGGTTTTAGTCAAGGTTTACCCTATGTGCTTACATTCTGTGTCCCAGGGACCCAGGTAGCTGTGTGCACAATGAGAGACACGTGCTCCTTGCTTGTGTTGAGAGAAGGGGCACACAGAAAGCCTGAGCCATCCTGAACAGACCAATCTGGCCCCTGTAGGACAATCCAGAGCTATCTTTGTACCAGGGCTTCTATTGCCCCCAAAGCAAACAGCCCTCTTCACTTTCTTAGGAGCTTTGAAAAATAGTTTGGATGGAGCTGCAACAAGGAGTTAGCCTCCAAGAGTTCCTGAAGTTGTTTTCATGGATCAAACAAACCCCTCGTTTACTCATTGCCCATCTCACATTTAGCTCAGTGCATACCTTGCCTGCACCCCTTACTGAGTAAGCAGGGCACCGCCCTTCTCTGGCATCCCAGGCATCTCCTTCCTTGACAGAACTCTTCAGCTTCCCACAGTTTTCAGACAGCAGTGCAGAAAAATGTAACATAGGCAGAGCTTAGAAGGGAGATGCTTAATTACAATCACCCAGGCTCAGGCTCAGACCTAAGCCCGAGTGACTTTCCATCTTGGGCTAGGTGGCCCGTGGTCAGGCCCCCTCCCTGAGGGTAGGAAGACAATTGGACCTATTTTTAAGAGTCCTAATATTGATACCATCCAGATTAGGAGCTCAGCAGGTCTTAATAATGGCCATCATACACACCTTCCCCTCACTTGTTGTCTGGTCTTATGTCTTTATTATCTTTTGGGTTCTACAAAACTTCACGAGATAGGCGTTATTACTTCCATTTTATAGATGAGGAAGGCAAAACTCAGAAGATCTGTGTAGCATATTCACAGTGCCACACCGAGAGTGGATGTCTTTCATTTCAGGGTGATGACCAGGTACTGTTTTAAATTAGAAAGAGGATATAGGTCATACTTCATCCAAATGATATCAAGTAAAACCATCCATGCTGCAGACTGAGAGAGGAGCGGGGAGCCAGGGGCCCCTCCAGCGCAGCAATGGAGATAAGTGCTACTCAGTGCGGGATGGCCAGAAGGCCAAGTCCTGTTTCCAGAAAACTACCATGTCCATTGCAGTAGCAGGCTGGACCCAAGAGAGCCAAGGCAGCTTCAGAAAGATATGTGGCAACCAGAGCCAGGAAGTTCATCCTGGGTCCTTGACTAGGGAAACAGCTAGGCAGCAGGCTTTGCCAGAGCCTCGCGGTCCCTCTGAACCTGGTAATGAGAGAGCCAGCTGATCTAACATCTGATTCAAGAGGAATCAACCAGGACCACTGTTGGCCAAGATGCCCACAAAGCTTTAGGTCATATAGGAATACAGATTATTTTTTCTTTTTATTGAGTTTATTGGTACATTTTAGGTATACAGTATAGTTACATTCATCATTGGGATCTTGTACCTTTACATGACAGGTCTTGGTTCTCATTTTTTCCCCTTGTCCCTGCCCTCCCTTCACTCCCTCCTCCCCTCCCCATTTATAAACACTTTATTTCCATTTTTTCATTTTCTCATATTTTTTTCTTTTCCCTTATTCCCTTTCCCCTACTCTTCCCACTTTCCCTACACCTTTAGCCCTTCCTATTTCACATTGCTAATTATCCTGTTTGGATCTTAAGTACTATTTTAGTTATTCATACCAGAGAAACTATTTGGTATTTACACATGTGTGACTTATTTATTTCACTTAGGAGTATATCCCCAAAATGTATCCATTTTCCTAGGAATGAATCTAATTTCTTGCTCTTTATAGCTGAGTAGTATTCCATTTTATAGAAAAACATCTTTATACAGTTTCCAACTGATGGACAAATGGGCTATTTCCAAGTTTTAGCTATTATAAGGAATACAGATTTGATTAAGTAGCTTCTGAAGTACACCGTTTTCCTTCTTTGTCTTACAGTTTTTCTTTCAAAACATGATGATCAGCATGGACCAACTCAGATGTAAATGTTTGTCCCTCTATGTAAGCAGAGTTAGAGGGATCAGAGTACCCCCAAGAAGCCAGAAGACACCATGAAAACCCAGCTAGGGGTGTGCTCAGCCAACACACCCTGAATGCCTACTGGATGCCACATCATGTGGCCAGTCCTGAGAGAAGCCACAAAGACAAAGGGGCCTCTGCTCTCATGGAGCTGATGTTCTAGTGGAAGGGAATAAATAAGACCCAGCTAGGAAGTGCTATGGAGTAAATCCAGAGAGAGAATGTCATGGTGGCTCCACTAAAGAGGTGACAGAGGGAATCCTTGAGCTGCACAAAGACAAAGAGTGGGCCTTGAGAAGCTCTGGAATGACCACAGGTGAGTGTTGGCACCTGATGACTATGCAGAAAGGTGGGGCAGGAGGCAGGGTAAGAGCAGAGAAACAGGCAGTCTTGGTTAGCAAGGAGCACTCTGGCTCTGGAAGACCTCGTCTCTGCAGTGCCACCAGGCTTGGTACAGAGTTCATGCTCAGTAAAGGCTTGCTGGACCCTGGGACATCAAAGTGCTTGCTGGTGGCTACCCCTGAAACCTCGCCCTAGTAGACCTGCTCCAACCTTCAGCTCTGTTTGTGCTTTATGAGGTGGCTCTCCAGTGAAGGATGGGAGCTAAAGAGAAGTCAGACCACAATGAGGGCCTCTGATTGGAGACTCTAAAACTGACTTTAGATTTTCTTCTTTGAAGAAAGAAAGAAAGAAAGATGCCTCCAAGTCCCCAAGGTTCACCTCTATGCAGAAAAACAGAAAGCCACCTATCTGACTCCCTTCCCCGACAGTGGTGTCTTTGGCATCCCAGGGTCACCCAGACAGAGGATTCTGTTGTTTTCAAGGACTGACTTAAGGGCTCTGTTTCCACTAGTCTAGCAGCAGGATGGAACTGATCCATCCAGCAGTGATCAACAAACACATACATGCCCAGGTGACTTGGGGCCAGACACTAGAACGCTGAGGGCCTGGGAAGGAATGAGAGGCAGTGTGGAGGGAAGAAAGCCACAAAGACAGAACCCAAAGTCCATCAACACTGTGGGTCCAATCTATAAACATCTGAGTCTCTTCTTCCACAGAGTCTAAGAGCTGGCTGTCAGAGCACTTTGTCAGGTGGCTGTTCCTCTACCTTGTTTCTTGCTTTTCTGCTAGTTTGGTACAGGGGTCAGAACACACAGTGAAATTTGGAGTTCTAGAAGCTTGCTGTTCCCTAAAGGATGATGAATTATTGAAGTGTTATGTGTATTAATAGCACATTCCAAATCTCGCGTGTTTACAAGGCTGCAGACCACTAGGGGTCTTACAGTTCAAGCCGCCCTAGAATTCTTTATGATGCTTTTGAAAGAACAGAATTGTACCCATTTCTCCCAAAATACTTAGTCCAGTGCAAAAGGGAAAGTAACACTCCGCTCAGGCCATTGTCAAAGCACTGAGCAAGCAGACCCAGCAAAAGAACCAGGCCAATCTAGAGGCCTGGATATCTCATAGTCTCAGAATTGTCCCATCCACAAAAAGCTTTGTGTAAGCCTCAGATAGGAGCACCTAGCATCTGTCTCCCAGGACAAAGAAGTAGGCCCAAGGCTCGCTACAAAACTCTCCGCCCTTCTTTCTGGGTGCCATTCACAGTGAACCTGTCTATGACTCTGCTCCCCATAGCTGAGCTAAAAGTTTCTCCCCTAAGACTAACTGTGTACAATTAATTCAGTAATGTAGCAAATCAACAAATATTCATTCTGCAGCACTCTTTCACTTTCTAAATCATTCTTTCTCTCCTATGCACTTGGAATACTGATTTGAACAAACTGATCATGTTATGTGTAGAGCACGTGGGATTTACAGAAACTTGCAGAGAAGCAATGAGCAAATACAGAAATAAACAATATTATTCACAAGTCTAGCATATCTAGGAGCAATAGGATTAACATTTTAGCATATTCCTTTCCAGATATCTGTCTGTATGTTTTCATATGGTGGATATCATACTGTAAACTTAATTTTATGTTGATTTTTAAATTTAATGTTGTAGCCATCTTACCCAGATAAAACTGCCGCAGTTGGCAAGTTAAAAATTCAAGGTGTTTAGTTAAAATTAAAGTTTAGAATTTCTGAGAAACAAGGGATAAATATTATATATTTAGAACATTTAAGTATGTCCCAAAGTGGGTCCAAAAATTGACTTGGTTGTTTTTTCTCTGAAATTCAAATTTAACCAGTGCTTTGTATTCTATGTCACAACCATTGGCTTCAAATTCACAGGTGGCTACATCTCTGACCTTATCATCACCATTAGTCCTCTTTCCTTATTCTGTACCAAACACACCAACCTTGAATGGATCGTGACTACACCTGCCACGAGGCCTGTCACTTGCTCCATCTTCTGCCTCAACACTCATTCCTTTGGTATTTCAGCCACTCCCTATACACTTCTTCAGGGCCCTATCAAATATCAACTTATGAAGAGGCCTCCTCTGGCTGCCCTGCTACAAACAGCACTCTCCAATGCGTTGCATTCCTCTCATCACGACTGATAATTCTCCGCATAACATTCTACATTTAATTGTTTATTATTTGGCTCCACTTTTAGGGCATAAGATCCCTAAAAGCAAGGATTGCTTCTTTCGATTTGCATTTTACTTTTGTTCTACTGCCATATCCCCACTATATGGAACAGCACCTGGAATAGGCACTCAAGAACGATTTGTTTAGTGAATGGATATTCATGTGTGTGTCTGGTGATTCATGCTACTCCATCAAGCCACTAGTTTATTTCTGAGTCATTACCATGCTGGTTTAATGATTATGTTTTCATAAGCATTTTTTATCTCACATGGCCAAGTCTCTCATTAATTTTTTTATACTTTTTCTCTTTGGTCACTTTTGACTATTTTTCCATTAAATTTAGAGGCATAAAAATGTCCAACAATTACAGAGTATTTCCTATGTGACGGGCATGCTCTAAGCAATCTTCACTTATATAATCCTCATAGCAAACCTACATGAGATGACTCTACTTATCCCCATTTTCCAGAGGAGGAAACTAGAGTATAAATAACTTCATCATGGTTATAGAGCAAGTGAATGGAGAGCTAGTATAGTATTTAGCCAGTCTCTAAAGGTGTAGGGAAAGTGGAAAGGGTAGGGGAAAGCTAATAAGGGCAAAGAAAAAATACGAGAAAATGAAAAAATGGAAATGAAGTGTTTGTAAAGGGGGAGGGGAGAAGGGGGTGAAGGGAGGGCAGGGGAAAAAAATGAGAATCAAGACCTGACATATAAAGGTACAAGATCCCAATGATGAATGTAACTGCACTGTATACCTAAAATGTACCAATAAACTCAATGAGGAAAAAAAAAATTTTTTTAAAGAAAGAGAGATAACATATGGAAAAAAAAGTACTTAGCCAGTCTAGTTGCAGAGGCTTTTCTATAATCCACCATTCTGTGCAGCCATATTTATTTTCTATTGCTGTCATAAACACAGCAGCTATAAAGCAATGTACCTTTTCTGTCTCACATGGATCAAGAATCTGTATTGCAGGTCAGGTTGATCTGCTCAGGTCTCTCAGTGTCAATCAGTGTGTCTGCAAGGTTACAATTCTCAGCTGAGGTAGGAGTCCTCTTGCAAACTCAGCCACTCCTGGCCATGTGTCCTCAGTGGTTTCCAGCATAGCCACACACTTCTGTCCTGAAACCAATAGAAACACACCTCTGTGTGACCTCTTCTGTTACCAACCAGAAGAAGAAAGCTCTCTCATTTTGAAAGGCTTACCTGTTTGCATCATGCATGCCTCTGCCACAAAAATCTCTGTATCTTAAGGCCAGCTGACTTGGGACCTTATTTACATCTGCAAAATTACTTCATATCAGTATCTAGATTCAACTGACTGAAAAAGCAGGGAAGGGGATTTTGGAGGAAATATCTTTAGTATTCTGCCTACCACCACCTTTCAATATGGGCTCTCATTATTTAGTTAATGTGAGGCCAACAGATCAAGAAACAACTGCCATCAGAAAGACAGTTTATTACACTCAGAAATCTTAAAGAGCAGAAGCATGCCATGCCATGGGGTGGGGTATGCGAGGAAGCCCCAGAGCTGGTCAGGAAAGCAAAGAGAGAGAGAGAAGATCTAAGAACAAGAGCTCTGATCATGTTTCCATGAGAGGGAATAGGCAGGCAGGATGAGCAGGTTTAGGATTGGACAGTTTGAATAATTTTGGCAGGTCCCAGAGCTTGAGAGCTGTCTTAAATTGTCAGGTGCCCGGCCCTGGGTAACCAAGACAGGTGGATTGTGGCCCCAAGTGTGAGGGGCCAAGGATTGGAGTGACCTCTTGTTATGGTTCTGATCAAGAATAGCCTCTAAAGTCATCATGGAATCATAGGCAGGAATTTCGGAGGATGTTCATTCCTAGAGGTATTCTAACTGCCTTGCTGTTAGGAGGCAGGACCTGGTGGGGCATTTCCAGAAGGAAGTGTCTCCCTCCCCTTCTCTCTCTGCTTCCTGACCACCGCAGTGTAAACAGCTTCTCCTCCACCCTACCCCGCTGCCATGCTGTTTTCTGCCTTGGAACCAGCTGACTATGGATTGTAACCATGAGCCAAAATAAACCTCTCTTCCTGTAAGTTGGAGGTGTCAGGCATTTGTCTTAGAAATAATGAAAGTGACTAAGACAGCTCTGGAGTGGTTGGTGTGTGCTGTACAAGTGCCTCTCAGCCAGGCATTTATGACCCATAAGAGTCAGCCAGCCCTCGATGAGGAAGTCCCTCTAGGGTCATCAAGGCCTTAGATGTAAAGAATCCAAATACCCAAAACAAAAGACATGAATGCACAACAGCTACCTCACTGGGTCAGTTTCCCACTCATTTCTCTCACCCCCAAAGAGACAACTATTGTAGATGCTATTGACTGATACTGTTTTAAATTTGCACAGCAATATAGGAAGAATTAACCCCTTCATAAAAGCCCTTCCATGAGCACAATATAGCTTTTCATTTTTTCAGGCCTTCTTTTATGATCCTTAGTAGCTCTATCAGTCAGTGCTCACAAACAGATTTAATATAAGATACACACACACACACACACACACACACACAGATTTACAAAGTAAGCTTACAATGATTGCCTGCCTGCCTGCCTGCAGAGTCAGGTGCGGAAGAGTGCAAAAGGGTTGTTTGCATGCTGGAGATACAAAAACTCCAGTCAAACGTCAAAGTCCCAGAGCTCACTGTAGAGTACCGTGCAAAGCCAGAGAATCTGCACTGCAACACTGGACAGTATGCGCTGGAAGCCCAGAGATGGACATCCAAGGGGATGACAAAGACTGGAGCTCCTCCAAAGAAAGAGAAGTAAGCCTTTCTTCTTTTGCTTTTTTATTCTGTCAGGCTACAAGCCTATTGGTTGGCGCCACTCACAGCCAGGTTGGATCTTCCAGCTTCAATAAATCCATCCAGTCACATCCATAACTGTGCTAGACCAACCAGATGTTCCAAGTTGACACAATAGTAGTTTTGCACTTTATATAAATTCTCAGTTTTGTTATAGTTGTTCCAGATACTGTATAAATTATATGGCTATAATAAATAGGTTTTCTCCTCATATTTTCTAATATATTTTATTATATTTTAGGCTGTATTTTACTATACAACATTTTCTATTATATTTTATTATATATACAAACTTTTTCTTTCTTTACAGCTTTATTGAGATATCATACATACAAAAAAACTACACATATTTAGGGTGAGAATTCTATAGGCTTGACATGAGACCAAAACTATAAAACCATCATCACAGTAACATTACTGTATTTATTACTCTAAAGTTTCATCAGGCTCCATAGAAGTCCTTTCCTTCCAAACCTACCCCATCCAAAAGCAACAACTGTTTGCTTTCTATCATACAGATTTTTGTATTATTTTTACTTTAGTTACAAACTGTCATACCATTTTTCATAGATGTTCAATTTATTTCAAGTTTTCTAGTATATAAGAATAACAACATATAATTCTAAATATATTATTTCCTCTTGTTTGTGTTTATATTATGTCAACCTAAACAGCAAACAGAGAGTGGTTCTAAAAAGATTAAATTTATGCAAGAATGGATGTTGCAGTGGGAAGAGATGAGAGTGTATTCGAGGAGGTCAAGGCAGGGGAAGTGTTTAAAGACAAAATGGGAGGATTACATAATTTGTTTCAAAGCAATAATCCTTGGTTGCAAGGGTCAATAACAAGGGTGGCCTCAGGCAAAGAGTGCACAGAGGCTGCTATATAGATATCCTTGAAGAAGTGGTGTTTGTTTGTTTTGTGGTTTTTTTTGCAAGGCTGAGTTTGTCTTTGGGCAAGCTTGTGGTTCTGGCAGAGCCTTTAATTTGTGTTATCAGGAATGTGTGCATGAGATCCCCTCCTTCATAACCCCCTGGCTTAATCTGATATTTTTTATTAGAGCTTAGCACGAGTGGCTCCATTTTGATTCTGACATTCTCAGTCATCAAATCTTTCTTTTTTTTTTGGTACTGGGGATCAAACTTGGGTCCTTGTACTTGCAAGGCAGGCCACTGAACTGCTGAGCTAAATCCAGGGCTCAGTTATCAAATCTAAGTTCATGCACAGTGAATGTAGAACCTAGCCTGACCTGATTGCATTCACAGTGAGTGGTAGCCACTACAATTGCTCCTGAATAACCCTGGCCTCTTTTCCCCATAAAGTTTGCCTGCATGCTATAAATAAGACTATTCAAACATGTGTGGATCTGCATGGCTGGACTGTGGCTCCATCGGCGCCAAGGAAGTGCCTGACGCCTGTGGTATTAGTTTGAGGCAAACCAGGTACATTATAGTTTAGGTGAAATCACTTTTGTCCCAACTACTACATATGCCACCCTTTGACACAAATCTCTGAAATCCACTGGTCTTGCTGCCACTCTTGACCACACTTCTGTCAATAAGTCCCCAGTAAATGGCACTCTGTGCAACTGTGGATCTGTCTGGCTCAGAGCACCTTCCCCTTACAGCAGCTGGCTCTTTCACACCTGGTTTTCCTGGGACCACGAATTAGCAGAGATTCCCATTAAAATGCTAAATCACCATAATGATTCTTGCATCATCTCTGATTTAATTAGAATGACTCAGGGTTCTGGGCACTCTTTAATTACTTTAATGAGAAATAACCTGTCATCCAGTACCCGGCCTTCAAACACAGAAAGCAAGTTCTATGACCAGGTAGCACTGGTCTAACTCTGGACCTGTACACTCATTGGTCTGTTCTCTCTTGTCATTTCCAACCCATTTTAATTGTTTACTCATCTGCATTTGTACATATATTCATGTACACACCCCTCACAGGTGTAACTAATTTTTAGTCTTATTTTTTCTACTTTACCAGACTAAACTAAAGCAGAAATAGTGCATTTTTCATTTTATTGGGGGAAATATCTTGTACATACTAGATACTTCATAAATATTTCTTAAATTGAGAATAAATATAATGTTTACCTAAAAGCAAAAATCCAAAACCTAGATATACATTACAACTGCCTTACTAAACTAGCGGAGGAAGGACAAAATTGTTTTTTAAAATTTTTAAACTTCAGTCAATTAGTAAGAAAAATAAGGAGACATTTTCCCAGGTCACATCCCAGGTACCATAAATTAGAATCTCTGGTCCTTGGGGCCTGGGATTTGTGTTTTTAATAATCATCTGGGTTATTTTTACCCACTGAACCTGGTCTTGGCTGAATCGTGTAGAGTACCATTGTCTTAAAGTAAAACGAAAATCTAGGAGCAAAGCCCTGTTGTATTACAAAACACTAGTGCTAAATGAATTCTAAAAATCTATTTTACCCCTGATGTTTCAAGGGCTAGAACTTCTATAAGACTGACTGCTCTACCAGTATGACTGCAGAGCATCCTAGTTAGTGTCAGACAGGAGGTGGGTCCCAGGAGGTCTGTTTCTTTGGCACCATTTGACTCCCCAGAAACTCCACCACCCTAGCAGAAATTAATATCTTAGAGTGTTGGAGGAATCTTAGTCATCCCATGTAAATGTAGACCCAAGCAACAATAGAGGGAAGCATGCTAAAGTTAATTACTTTGGGAGGAATACAATAACGATAAACCAAATCAAATTTTTCAGCCAAACATTTGGATTTGAGTTCTGAAATAATTCAAACTCTTGTGGAAGTTATTACCAATCATGAAACCAGACAGCAGGAAATAATTCTCTGTTAGCTGCATTATTTATAAGGGAGAAATATATATATATGTATGTATGTATACTTTTTCTTCCAAGACATTCAATAAAAACCACAAGGCAAACAAAACCGTTTCCTGGGCTTGGTTTCCAGCAATCTTACATCACATCCTCACTCACTCACTTCCTAGGTCTTCTTTGTGGTGGAAATCTTCCAGACCTCACCACTGGGAAGCCCACAAGGGCTAGGTGGAGGCAAAAGCCCTCAGGAGAGGAGAGGAAGTTGCTGGTCATCTGGTGTGGCCTCCTTATTTTACAGAGAAGGAAAAAAAAAAAAACCTCAGATAGTGAAGACAGTTTGCAGATGGCTACCAGCAAAGCAGGGATAAAGACTCCTAGGCTCTGAGCAGTGTTTTTTTCACTTCCGAGACTGCTTACCAAATTGTGTGCTCTCATTTCTGGGGAAAGGTCTTTACAAAGGAGCCTATTCCCCTTCATGGACCCTCATACACCGCTGGCACGAATATAAAATGGTGCTTTGGCTACTTTGGGAGACAGTTTGGCACTTCCTTCAATGAGTAGACGTGCAACTGTCATGTGGTCCTGCAATTTCTTTCCTAAATATCTGTCCTGTAAAATTACACAAACAC